TAACCTCACTCACACGGCGAAACACAACGTCGTGTTTTACGCCGGTTTTCCGTGTTGAAAACTGTAATAATTTTCATTAACAACGTGTTCGTCTCGCTATCGACAATCTTGACTAAGCTTTAAGTTATTATTTTCAATAAATTTTATATGTTTTACGATGCCCAAGTTTTCTGTAAGAAGCCATACTTCTGCACAATAAAACAACAAACATCTTTGTTTAACATTGCCCTAAAAAAAGGTTTTCTGTGGAACAAGCAATCTGATGGATCACACTAAGAATTATGTTGGAAATATACGTAGCTCGTTTCACGGAACCCAGTGACAACAGACACATAACAGACACTGTGCGATCCACATGTTGTTGTTTCGGGTCTAAGTGCCTTGTGTATGTGCATTTTTATGTTTGTAAATGCGCCCATGAGACAGAATAAAATCCTGATGTTTTTTTCATGTGATAGGACAGCAAACCTATAATTATGTACGCATTACCTAATGATAAGCAATCAACGCCTTCAATGGACACCCGCAAAAACGGAGGAGTTACGAGTGCGTTATGGCGTTTTGGAGATTAGGGATTTAACCTCTACCTACACAATCCCAAAATCTCCAAATCTCTAAATCCATAAATCAACCAACCGAATTCTTGGGTAAGCCGACCTGCTCCAGCTCAAACACGATTCAAAAACTCCTCATTTCTCTCTAACCAAGCAAATCTCCTTAAGTTACACTACAACGAAAATGAAGGGAAATGATATAACATATACATATATGATATACATGGAGGTTCTATCATTTAGGTCGTGCAAATACTTCCACGCTATTTCGCGCCTCGTTCATCGCTAAGCGGCTCAATTTCCTGAAACTAACAAACTGCAGGTAGCGTATCGGATTGATCTTCGTAAGTGTGGCAGTGCGCGGTGTGTCAACGATACTTATGTACTGGAAGATCAGGTCAAGTATTTTCGTGTTCGTTTTATAAGTTTATTTTTTTATAGATTACTCGCAACTTGCTCTGGCTTTGTACGGGTGCAAGGCTGACACAAAATTTCTCCACTATTAAACGGATGTTATTATATATAGGTACATATAAACCAAACACAATTATTACACACACTGACTTATTGCCCGTGGCATTCTCGACCAGTCGAACTGGTAGAAATGATAATTGTAATAGCACTAGAGTCGCTATACTCAGGTTCAGGCTTTAGGCCTATTGCTTGGGTTTCCGATGATCACGGAGATGGAAGGAAACGAATCTATTGTTACGAAAGTCTGTATAATAAAGTAAAGGCAAATAGAGTAAAGATTGGTGAGCATAAAATAAAAGTAACATAAAACTAAATACAACACGAAAACTGGGAGCGAGCGAGAGCCGCGATAGACGTATTATAATACTTGTGCTGCGCACTGCGGCGTCGTCGGCGTACCTACGTGACCGGCGGCGGCGGCCGGAGCTGGCGCGTCGCGCGCGCAGCCGTTTCGAACCGTGCGGCCGCGCTTGTACATTGTACACGCTCCGTAAACCCTCTCAACGACCGGGCGCCATATAATTTATTTTATTTATTCATTTTAGTTCAACTAACAATTGTTAACACAAACCTTTTGTATTGAGTTTAGTGTGTACACAAGAATACATTTATTTATATATAAGTATCCACCACATGCACTATTCTTTATTTTTACCTACATCTCAAAACGTCTGTAATTTATTTACACAAATACCACGATATAAAACAATTAATTTTTTTTTTAAAGATTTAATCGTACATAGGGATAAACATATGTAGGGACAGAGAATGCGAAGCTTTGTTTTATACTATGTAGTTATGTACATTTTATTTGAGAGATTGTTTCAGTACAGAGACAGACAAACATACCTACAGGTTACTAAGCCGCAAAGCTTAGCCGCTAAGATTCATTAAACCTTCATTAAAGTCTGCATAATTTAGTGCTAAACGTAACAACTGTCCAGCCCGCCATTGTTACTTGTTACAATGTTATTGTTTCCTGTTAAAATAAATATTGACTCAATTCAGAGAAACATGTATTGTGAAAACTCTACATGGATTATTTTTGGACATTCAAGTTTTTGTTAGGTTATAAGCTTATTTTTATTACATACTAGCTACTGTCCCGCGGTTTCGGTAACCGCTATTCGGCTTCTACATATCGGAGCGTGATCATTTATAGCCTACAGCACTCAGGAACATTGTAGCTATCTATCAGTGAAAGAATTTTGGAAATTGAAAAAAACCGATCAGCGTTGCCAAAGATTACCCCCTACATAAAAACTTACAAACTCACAAATTTTACCTCTTTATAATATTAGTATAGATATAGAGTAACTACTGCCGGCGGTTCACCCGCTGTTCGGCTCCTAGATATTGTAGCGTGCTGTTTTATAGCCTATAGCCTTCCTTGATAAATGGACTAATCGAACAATAAGATTTGTTCAATTTGACCCAGAAGTTCCGGAGATTAGAGCGTTCAAACAAACGAACTCAACAGCTTTATAATATCAAAATAATATATAGTATAGATAATTATATAAATCTCCATTCGAATATAGAATTTAGAACAAACACCTGTTGTATTTATTGACGAACTCACTGACAGACTATATTTTATTTAGACGTTTCAAAAGTATCTGTTTATGGTTTAGTTGGAATAAAATAAATCATTTTGACTATGACTTTGACTTCTATGTGTAACAGAGTTGTTTCTAAACAACAAACCAATTAAAATTTGGTCCCCTTCAAAGGTAAAACAAATATCATCATCATCATCAGCCCATAAGTGCCCACTGCTGAGCAAAGGCATCTTCTCACGCGGAGAAGGTTTGAGCATTAATCACCACGCTTGCTCAATGCGGGTTGGCGATTTCAAACTTATAATTAGAAATTATAAGTCCAGGTTTCCTCACTATGTTTACCTTCACCGTATGTCATTGGTGTCTTAATAATCATAGAAAGTACATATAACTCGGAAAAAGTCACATTGTTACTTGCCAGGTTACGAACCTACACCCTCATGCATGAGAAGCGGGCTCCTTAACCTCCAAGAATTTTTTTTTAAACAAATATCAACCTATAAAAACAACCAGAATTGGTCAGTTTCAGAAAAAATGCATTATATACGGTCGTATTGAGGACCTCCTCATTTTTCAAGTCTGTTAAAAATCACAGTTCCAAATTTGAATTTTAACACATAAAATTAAATGTTTTTCTCAGAGTTTGCAAATTCGCTCTGAATCCATGATCACAAGAGTCAAAAGTTACTCTAGCAATATTTAACTAACTATGTATTACTTGAATTAAAACTTCTTAAGACAGTGGCTTATTAAACAAGCAAATTCCTTACTTGACGATACTTGATTTCTTACGCTTATGAAGTTTTCAGAAAGTCTTAACAAGTCTTATTGCAACAATATAGAAATAAGTTCTACGTCAACTTTTGAAGATAATTTTGAGTATCTTGTTATTTCAAATATGAAAGATTTTTGTACATGATAAAGACATTGTTAACGAGCCATGTAGATCAATGTTTATGAATTATAATATGTAACGATTCAGAAAGAATTTATCAAAACGCACAATATATAATATATACCTACATATAAGTACATAATACATATGTATAACTGCGAAACTCCGTTGTACTGCAGAAATGAAAATGGATATTCCGTTTTTTTAATCCCTACACAACATTATGGATATTTATAATTGTTTTATTTAAAAAAAACGTTACCCCAAACTAGTATTTTCTCCTGTGTCATGGGCGCGTCGTACAAACATACAATTTCACATACAAATGACACCCAGACCAGAAACAACAATTTGAGGATCACACAAAGTGTTGTTCCGTGCGGGAATCGAACACCGCACCAAAAGTGCAGTCAACCGTGCTGGATTGTTTGTTATATTTTATATTGTTATCGTGTAAATATGTGTATTGTATGTACACATGTATAACCACCGTACTCAAAGTCATTCAATGGTAAATAAACCCCGTTCTTAGTAATGGCATTCAGAACCGAATCGTTTATATTAAAAAAAAAACGATTTTTTGATGAAATTGGTCGGCATACAACCAATCGGAGTGATTGAACTGATGGTAAGCAATCGGTGCCCCTTATGGACACCCGCAACATTGTAGGAGTAACGAGTGTCTCCTCTTGGAGATTAGGTTTGAAAATAAAGATAGGGATATATATGTATACTAGCTTCCGCCCGCGGCTTCGCCCGCGTCAAATTAGTTTTTGTCAATCCTGGTCCCTTATTTGAAAACGGTACCCTCGTACGTAACCCTCTTGCTCATTGCTAAACATAAGCGGGTATTGTAGTGCGTCATAAAACTTGTGTGTATCGGACACCCTGATCAATGTGTTATCATGGGTTTGAAAAACAATATCGCGCGATGCGAACTGTTCACCACACACCATGGCAGCGACTTCGTTTATTAAGGGTGCATTATAACGTCTCCGCTTGGCGTACGATCGCCGAGTATTACTAATTTGTGATTTTCCCGTGGCATTTTTTCTAAGGCTGTTTTGAAGGTATTAATGAGGTTATTATGTTCGTGCAACATTTTTTGAATTTTTAAAACAATGTCCCTCTCATCTCCTTTAATATTTTGCCATCAACGGTTAACCTCGCTCTAGAGGATACGGTGGAGCATACGGTAGCGGTATGCCCTGCCTGGGCTGAGCACCACCGTATCCTCAGGGAAGTGATCGGCGGCGGCGACCTCTCGCGCCCGGCCTTAGTCGAGGCCATGGTGCGGAGTGAGAGGAACTGGGACGCCGTCTCTTCATTTTGTGAAGCAGTTATGCTCGCAAAGAGAGAGGCGGCCCGCGTGAGGGAGCAATCCTCCTCCTCACGCCCCAGCCGCCGCAACTGGCGACACTACGGGCGTCGGGGATCGAGGGACGATCTCCGGCCACCGTAAGCACGGGTCTGCGGTCGGTGAGTAAGGGCAGCTCACCGCCCGACCAGAACCAGGCCCGAGCGCACGCGGCGTAGCGTTCCGCGCGCGCCTCAAAGCGCCTAAAGGGCTGATGTTCAGCCGGCGTTGCGGGGTAAGCGCAGAGCAGGAGAAGGAACAGGGGGGTTTTTAGTCAGTAAGAGTCTGACACTCCCTCCCGCCCGGCGATGGGCGGAGAAGTCATTTGATAATTTTCCCTCACACAAAAAAACGGTCAACCTCGCTGTTTTCGTCTTCCATAAAATCAATCTGTAGAAATGTTGGTTGATCATTGTTTGTGGAAAGCAAAGAACCAATCCTATGATAAACTTGCCCTTGTACCGTAAATGTGGGTGAAAATCCAATGACAGGAAAAATCGCCGAGATTCATTGCTGTCCTTTCTTCTGTCGTTGCTCCTCGGGGTCACCAAGCGTTGGTGGGGTTGGATACTTACTTCCAGAACAGCACATACCTAGGGTCTCTTCCTTCCACTTGAGTGCCTCACAGTGTCTGCATTTATTGGCCATTCTACCTATGAGGACTAATCGATGATTAAAGTAATCTAGTAACAGATCATTATCAAAAGCAGCATCGGCAAATGCCTCCCACGTATTCATCGTAAACGTACGTCTCCTTTCTGCTTGCCGCTCGGCATTAATTAAACGTCGTCTACATGTTTCTTCGGAGGTCTCTGCGGCTATGTACGAAGCTTGACGCTCAGCATCTAAGATTTGGAGAGCTTGGGTCTGTTGAGAAGTCTTAGCAGCTCTTTGATCCGCGTGACGCTTGGCATCAATGATTTGGCGAGCTTGGGACTTTTGAGAGGTCTCAGCAGCTCTTTGGGCCGCGTGACGCTCGGCATCAATAGTTTGGCGGGCTTAGGTCTGTTGAGAAGTCTCATTCCAGTGATCTATCAAGTTTAGCAGCCCGAGCTCTGCTAGAGCTTTTAGCTAAATTGGACTTTCGTTTGCGAGGCATCGTAGAACAAAAAAAATGAAATTAATAGGACAAAACAGATGTACAGATTAAGATTTATTATAATAATTTTACTGGTTCGAAAAATGTAATTCTCTAAAGCGCAAATTTCTCTTATCGCACCCGGCAAACGACCTCTGTCCTCACGTGTCTGTCCGTTCGGGTAGTTAGATTCGTGCGCTTCCCCACCACACGACAGCGCCGCGCCGCACTTCGGCGAATGTGCGCGACGCCGACGGCGGCGACGGCGATGCAGAGTGTTCATTAAAAGGAATTTATACTTCGAAAGTGAACTATTTTGTAACTTGATACACCCAAAACTTCTAAATTACATGTTCCTAGGTTCAATAGTTAAGATTTCGTATACTTACATATAGGTTGGCTTTGTAGATCCCGTTCCGAATCCGTTCCGGATCTTATCTTCAATTTATCCCCTATTTCACTACATATCACACTGATAAAATTTTCAAAATGCTAGTACAAACGATTTTTTGTTTCTTATGACGTGATATTTGACGAAATTGCATACTAACTTTCAACCCTTATTTCACCCCCTAGCTGGTCGAAATTTCAAAAATGCTAGAACAATAATTTCATATTTTTTTATCAAGTGCTTAAATATTAAGATTTATGGTTTAATCTTTAAAAATTACGAAATCCCATACAAACTTTTAACCCCTATTTCAAACCCTTTATCCCTGTTTTCCGAAAAAAAAGTAGCCTATGTTCTGTCTCAGGGTCTAAAGATTGTCTGTACCAAATTTCATTAAAATCGGTTGCGAGGTTTAAGCGGGAAAGCGTAACAGACAGACAGACAGACAGAAAGAGTTACTTTCGCATTTATAATATTAGTTAGGATTCCACCACAGATAAAAGAATCTTGCTAAAAGGCGGTTGTCTAGCCACCGTGATAAATAAAACAAAGCAATAGCAAAGTGAAGTGAACAAAACAAAGCAATAGTAAAGTTACTATTGCTTTGTTTTGTTTGTTATCTATGTGTTATTTATTTGTCAATAAAATTATTTCATTGTCCACAGGTATATTCCTATCGCTGCTAATATTCCTGAGTGTAGCGGGGAATATACTGGTCTGCATCGCGATATACACGGACCGAGGTTTGCGACGCATCGGCAACCTGTTTCTAGCGTCGTTGGCTATCGCTGACATGCTAGTAGCTGCTGCTGTTATGACCTTTGCTGGAGTTAATGATTTGCTTGGGTAAGTTATAGTTTAAGTCAATTATTTGTTTTCTTATCTATATTGATAAATATTTTTATATAAAGCTAGAAGTCCGCCCTTGCATCGCATGGTTGTCAAATTACCTCGTTGTCTGTCTAGTCTTTAGATAGAAAGAAAGAAAGATCATTTATTTGTCAAACATGCGTTTACATAAACTGAGTAGTCAGACATGCAAGATATTAAATAGGTAGTTTTTTGTGCGTCCATGTTCCGCCAATAGTGGCGTACAAATTTTGTATATAGTTATTCAATTTCATTTAAAATCATTATAATCAGCAATTTGTGCAACAATAATCATTATTAAATTTATGTTTAGTTTTAAAGATTGAAAAAAAAAAACTTTTATAAATTATGTTATTAATTTTTACATTAAAGACGATTACAATCTGTAGGTTAATATGTACCAATAGCCTTGTTACATGCCTCATGGGACCCATGTCAATATTTCAGGCAGGGTGTCACATAAGGTGTTGTCTATGTGGACCTATGCCTGGCCTTATGAGATAATCCCCAAACTCCAAATCCTTAAATCCTGACGTTGTAGGTAACGCTAATAGCTTACCATCAAAGGATCCACCTATTCGTTTTCCGAACCATGATAATATTCAGATCGAGAGACTTAGAACCGACAACAAGACACATTTAATAATAGACTTAACTCAGAAAATATCAGCAGCAGTATCGATCGCCATGATTGATTGCTTTGTTGTAAAATATGTAACGTAACGTTTACATATGTAAAAGCTTATTGTTTGAAACGAATAGAGTTCACCTTACAGAAAACCAACGTGAAACAACCACAGCGTTGAGTTTAGAAGTGAGTAAGGTTACCCGCCAATCCCTTCCCCTCTCCCCATCTCTTCCCAATCCTTAAATACCCGAAACCCTTATCCCCAAAAGGTCGTCAGCGTAACTCCTTTGGTATTACGGGTGTCCATGTGCGGGGCTGTTTACCATTAGGTAATCCGTCAGCTCGTTTACCGACCTATTCCACAAAAAAAAAAAGTATTTTGAAGTATCACACTCAAACCTGAGCGGCCTTATACAAAACAAGGTTTTTATTTAGAGTACTTTTTGTATTTCGATTTTCGAATTGAAGGTAGGTGAGAATAAGGTTCAAAACTCAATGGTAAAAGAATAATCAGTACCTAGACTAAAGATAAATCTTCTTTTGTTATAAGGGGGGAGAGGTTTAAGTGATACTCTATCAGCTAAAAACATGTAAACATTATTTTTGTAAATTTAATAATCAATAAACATTAGATCATTCAGTTATTTGTGGATTGAATGTCAAGTCTAAATATATCTCAGACAGAATATCCTTCCAAGAACATCGGATTCGATATTTACCTATGTAATTATAATTTAGTAGCTTTAGATCTTTGTGTAGAGTAGTACTAGTAATTAATTCAGACAACACAATACAGTTTTATAATGGGAACTCAATCATTTTGGCGTTTGAAATGTTGATAATATACATATAAGTACATTCATGAATGTACATAAACTTGTATTTTATATTATCCATGAATAATTTACATTAATTGAACAGTATACATATCTTTTATATATAAAAATGGATCGCAAAATGTGTTGGTAAGCGCATAACTCAACAACGCCTGGACCAATTTTGATAATTCTTTTTTGTTGTGTTTGGTATTATCAGGAGAAGGTTCTTATCAAAGAAAATATTAGAAAAATAAAGGGAAAGGTTAGGAAACAGTGGCCCTTTGGTAGGTAGATAAATTGGACCCGTGCGAAGCGGGGGCGGGCCGCTAGTTATGTTTACATTTGACGAAACTTACACTTTGTTTGTAACAGTTACTGACGGACGTTAAACTGTAAACAATGTTTCAATAAATTAAATTCTGTGCCTGAATACGTTAGATAATGCTGGCGGTAATTGAAATATCTTTTTAATTATATGGGTATCAGTTTATGTAACAGCTTTTACGTATTTCATTTTAATTCTCAGTATTCCAATTTAATTTAAATATAACCATCCCTCTCTAACCAGGTTATAACTCATGAACCGTTGTAGTTTACTGACGATATATTCCTGTCGCTGCTTCAATGACAAATAAGTACACTCAGCTGCAGAGAAAAGTATCCCCCTATGCAGATAACTGCATACACATTTGTACTTCAAGGAGGGTCCATTTCTCTGCAGCTGACCGAACGTAGCAAAAACGAAATATTTTTTTAAGCTGATACGAACAGACGAATTACCTGCTGATAAGCAATCCAAAATGTACACCAGAAACAGACATGCCGAAGCATATTTATGTGAAGAAGAAATCATCAAATGACTTCTGTCGTCCAGAGTTTGACGAGAGGTCAGAATCTTACTGACTAAAAACCCCTCCGTTCCTTTCCCTGCTCCAAGCCGTGACAGCGGTACATTGACCGGCGGCCTGCGCTATGCTAGTCCAAAACATGGCTCTCACAGACACAAATATATGTAAATAAAAATAAAAAGATAAAAAAGTCCTTTATTTCTTGCTAAAAAAATAAAAATAAAAAAATACATTTAAAAACTAAAATTAAGTATCCGTTACAAAAAATGTTTTAGTATTTGAGTTAGGAATGTGTATATTCTTTTTTCAAGATGGTGATCTCTTGGAAGGTAAAGGCCTCCTTCAGAGACAGCCAGTGATTTCTATCCTCTGCTACTCGCATCCAGTTTCTTCCTGCTATTTTTGTCTGCTTATAAATATATGTATAAAAGGCAAATTAATTATTCGTGCTTTTTCTCCCACAGGTACTGGGTATTCGGCGAGCAATTCTGCGACACCTGGGTGGCGTGTGACGTCATGTGCTCAACCGCTTCCATTCTCAACTTGTGCGCAATCTCGCTTGATAGATACATTCACATCAAAGACCCTTTGAGGTGAGAATCATTCGCACATACAACTCTATTCAGTGGTTTTGATCTTAGATAACATTATGTCTATAGAAATGAAAGAGTTAATTAATTACATAAGGTGAAGGAATTTGTTTTGACTGTTTAAAATGTACACTGCTATAACTTTTGTTGATAAATACTCATGGATAATAAGTTTAAATATATTTTTTCGTATTTCCTTGTGTATTAATGTTTTCTTAAAAACGATGCCAAAAATTAATTCCTCTACAGGTACATCTTATTATTGAATAAGTGATTAAAAAGTTAATACATCATCAGTCTATAAGTGGCCACTGCTAAGCAAAGCCTCTTGTCACACGAAGAAGGTTTGAGATTTAATCATCGACGCTTGCTAGATGCAAATTGACGATTTCAGTCTTATAAATAGGAATTTTACGTTTAGATTTCGTCCCGATTTTTTTTCGCCGTTTGTCAGTTGTAGACACCACTAATAAACTAAGAAAGTGCATATAACTCAGGAAAGTCACATTGGTATTTGTCAGGTTTTCTATCTTCATTCATGCATATCACATACAACGTTTGACATAGGACGTTCCTGGTGTAATTCTTTTTAAACATAATTTGGTCAACCATTGGACAGCACTGTGGGTAATAAAACTTTAAATAAATAGATAAAATAAAAACACTATATTACCAAAAAAGAAAAAAACATCTTCAAATTGGCGTTAAAATAATATTTGTCTACAAGAACAGCATATTTTCAGCATCAGTCGGCCCACCATAAATACCAATCTCAATAAAACCAACAGAACATTATCTATCTGCCGACCCAGAAACTTGACCACCACTATATCACTTAAAACAAAACAATATAAAATAATTACTTTCCAATACATAAACCTGGGTTAAATCAAATAATCTAATAATTTACACTGACTTATTCCATTAGCAATAAGGGTGAAATTCGTAAAGCAAGTATAGAAGGTTAGGTGTTTGGTTATAAAATTGATATGAGGCCGAGAAATGGACCGTTATTATTTGCTCGAGTGAGTGACAGTCGTAAATTTAATGCTGATATAAGCTTACATACATATGTCCTGTCGTTACTACTAGTAGGTAATAATAAAAATCGACTGCACGGTTGGTGCGGTGGCTGGGCAACTGTGTAACGTGTCGCGCGATTCCCGCGGAGAACAACTCTTTGTGTGATCCACAAATTGTTGTTCCGGGTCTGGGTGTGATTTGAATGTGAAATTTTATGTTTGTAACCTCACCCACGACACAGGAGAAAATCCAAGTGTGGAGCAACATTTAAAAAAAAAATTGATTGTTACCACTACTATGCGATTTATGTGAAACTTTCTGCCACGCACAGCAAATATTTGGCACGAGCGTACTCCTTTTTAAAAGGCCGGCAAAAATGAGCCTGTGGCTGCCCATGGACACTCGCTACTTCAAGTGTATTGCCGGTTTTTTGTGACGTATTAGGGATTCAGGGAAATGGGATTTGGAGATTGAAGATCAGGAGAGGGAAAGATTGACCTTACGCTTACGGTGAAATACAAAGTAAGTGTTATTTCACGCTGGTATTTTGCGAGTTCGTGGTATCACTTTGCGCCGAAACACAAAACTTAAAGGCACAAACGCTGTCATTGATATTGAAAAAAAAACATTCAAACCCTTAACTACTTTAATTTACTTTTTAGTGATATACTACTGAGATTTAGTTAAAACTAGCTCTTACCCGCGGCGTCGCCTGCCCTACTCTAGCTACCCTACCCTATCCTACCTACACTACCAAAACTCGGAGATTTTGTTAAAAATATTACATGGGCTTCCCATACAGATAATGTTAGCAAAAAAAACGATTTGTCGATAACCTTGGATAGGTTAAACGAATAAGCTATAAAAGTCATAAAGTTTTACCTTCAAATAGTCTTCGATCACGTTATAATGTCTCTGAAGGCCTGTATTGTAAACTTTCAATCATAATAAAACCTAGGCCGTTAATTTATTAACTAGACTAGATCAATTGTTATACTAAAAGTATTGTTGGCACACGCACATTGTTAAACAATTTGTTTTATTATAATCAAATTGAACTGCACGGTTGGTGCGGTGGCTGTGCAACTGGCTGCCGTGCAACGTGTCGCGGGTTCGATTCCCGCACGGAACAACTCTTTGTGTGATCCACAAATTGTTGTTCCGGGTCTGGGTGTCATGTGTATGTGAAATTGTATGTTTGTTACCGCGCCCACGACACAGGAGATCCTAATGTGGGGCAACGTTTATTCTAAAAAGAAAGAAAGAAAAATAACTATTTTTTTTATGAAAACAATCAATTTTATTTTTGTAAATTAATTGACTTTAAAACAGCACTTATACACGTCAATAGTATTAATACGTAAAATTATCTAGATGAAGACGCCATTTCCTATCTTTTTTTTATGTAATAGGTCGGCAAACGAGCAGACGGATTACCTGATGGTAAGCAATCAACGCCGCTCATGGACAGTCGCAACGGAGTTACGAGTACGTTGCCGACCTTTTAGGGATTAGGGATTTGGAGATTTAAGGATTGAGGAGGGATTGGGGGAGGAGAAGGACACAACGCTGTGGTTGTTTCACGCCGGTTTTCTGTGAGGCCGTGGTATCACTCCGGTCGAGCCGACCGATTCCTCTCCCACACTTATCTGAGAAAATTTAGCTGAGAAAAATTGCTGAAAAAATCAGTCAGCCTTTTTGTTTAGAAGTCCTTTTTTTAAAAGCGTTGCCCCACATTAGCAAACTAGTCATATCGAAATTATAACAAAAAAAAAAATACAATACCTACGCATCATATTTCGGGGCCATTATGTCTAGCCAGCTTACAAAGAACACAGACGTTTTGAAAGTAATTCCATCAAAATGTATGAGTGAAAAATAAAAAGCGAGACTTCACAATTAATTTCCTGAAAGAGTTTTCCTTGAAAAATGTATATTAGGCTACTTTTACATAAAAAAGGCATTTTGCTTTCAGTTGAGTAGACTTTTGGAAAATAGAAAGATTATTCAAAACTGGAGTTATAATGTTTGTAATCGGCAATGTATTTATTATGTCTCTGGTGTCGTGGGTGTCACATACCCTTGGGTGTTTCGACTGCATTATTTGTAGAGTTATTGTAATAGTGAATGATGATACCTACCTACTTAAAACAATGAAATAACTTAGGTAAAATAACGAATGAAATAACTATTCATTTTGAGGTTAGTAATCCGCAATCGTGAGAAATCCTAGACTTTTCATTTGTAATTCGAACCATGAATTCGCCAACCCACTTTGACTAAGCGTAGTAATTAATGCTCAAACCTTCTCCGTGTGAGAAGAGGCCTTTACTCGGTAGTGGACACTTAATAGATCATGAAGATATTATATCAGGCATTTCCGCGATGTTGTGAATAAGTTTGCGATTACAAATATATCCATTTCACAGTTTATGATATCAATTACTGGTATAAACTTTCAGTAGATCGAACAAATGTTTGCTTTGTGAAGGAAGTTTAATATGTACCTACAGCATCGATCACTCAGCTACTACGCCAACGTTACTGTCAAAATAATAATAATTAAATACACAATATCTTTTCAAGCTGAAATAATATTCCCAACTTGAGCCTTATAGCACTCAATTCAATAACTTGGAACAACGCAAAAGTGATACCGAACTCCTTTTGTCATATCTTATAGGATAAGATATGACAAAAGGAGTTCGGTATCACTATATTCCAAGTATTGAAGCTCACAACGACAGTTTTGCAATTTTCGACAAATACTTTCAAGCAACTTTGATCTCTGTTACGAGAAGCTAGAAAAGAAAATTGCCTGAATATTTCTGTACACGTTATAATATAAATTCTTTTGTTTCGTGACTATACATGCGTTCACAATTCAAATATTGTTTTAAGAATTGTTGGAATGTTTTGTTTTTTCTACAAAAGCTATTGTATTTTTCGTGCCAGAACGTATGTGACAGGTTATTTTTTTATTGGAATATTATAAGTCGTTTAAAAAAAGTATGATTCAGTCTAATGAAATATGAATGTTGAGATGGAGTTTTGTGATAAAAAAATCCTTTTACCTTTGTGTTTATTTTATCATTTTGAAAAGGGTTGTCGAGCCAGATAAATGTAAATGAAGAACCCTATTTTTAATTTCCCAAAACAGAAAGTCATTATGATGAAAATAATATTTTTCCTCATTATTCGAGAGGTAATTCAAATCTTCCTCTTGACGTTTTAACGAAAACTCGCCATCATGACTTGCGATATTTAATTTCGTAATATAATCACATAGCTTGCTTCCGATTCTGGGTATATTCAATGAAATGATAATTTCCCATAATTTTCCTTTTTATTTTATTTTTCGATGCTGCAACATTTGTCGTTTATTTGTCACAATTATACACATAATAATATTTAAGTCGTATAACCTATTTGACAAAATATCTGAATGAAGTTTCATAGCAGAGAGCGAGTATATTATCAAATACATATGTTATAATAATATATGACACCTCTTCTTCTTCTTAAGTTACGTTTTACTAAAAACAAAAACTCTGGCATTAAATAAGTCTTTTTTAAATTTACTTATTTCCTACCCACGATTTCGTCCTCAAAATTTTATAAATTTTACACAAAAATTCTCGATTGATCTACTTATAAAAATCACATCAAAATCTGTCACGTAATTTTGAAGATCTAAGCATACATAAGGACCACAGATAACCTTAGGAGGTGATCTGTAAAAGGGACAGACTGCCAGAAGCAATTTGATTTACTACAGTGTATGCGTTTTTCGCAGGTACGGCCGCTGGGTGACTCGTCGAGTAGCCGTCGCAACTATAGCCATGATCTGGCTCTTAGCTGGTCTGGTGAGCTTCTTACCCATATCCCTGGGTCTGCACAGGCCTGATGAAGAGGCCCTTGCTACCCAGAAGCCGCCCAGATACCCCACGTGTGCTCTAGTGCTGACACCGACTTATGCCGTCGTATCCAGTTGCATATCCTTCATACTGCCATGTATAGTGATGATTAGTATATACTGCAGGTACGTTCTTGACTTTTTAATATATATATTTTTTAGGTAAGAGATTTTTTATTTAAGACTTGCTAATCTCGTGCGGTTTCAGTCGCTGCTCAGCTCCATTTGATCGTAGCGTGATGTTTTATAGCCTATAGCACTCAGGAATCTTATAGCTATTTATCAGTAAAGGAATTTTGACAAGCCGACCAGCGGTTTCAAAGATTACCCCCTACATACAAACACACAAACTTACAAACTAACAAATTTTACCTCTTTATAATATTATTATAGATATTGATAGTAAATATTTTAATATTTTTTTTAAAAAAACGTTGCACTACGCTAGGATTTTCTCCTGTGTTGTGGGTGCGTTTACAAACATTCAATTTCACATACACATGACACCCAGACCCGAAACAACAATTTGTGGATGACACAAAGTGTTGTTCCGTGCGGGAACCGAACCCGCGACACGTCGCACGGCAGCCAGTTGCCGTCAGCCGGGGTTGCGGGTATATACGCAATAATGTACTGCGGTCCCTGGCTGAAGCAGAAGAAGGAACGGGGTTGTTTTTAGTCAGTAAGATACTGACACTCAATCTCGCTCCGCTCGAGGCGGGAGTATGCAGTTAAAGGTTGACCCAACCCAAAAAAGAAATTTTGACGAGACCTCTATGATGCTTGGGCAACACTAACGGGAAATGCCATTAATTAAACCAACGGTTTACGTCCATTATCGCGATAAATATTGGCATTTCCCGGTAGTGTGGCCCAAGTATAACAAGTATTTTAGGTCAAAAACTTTACTCCAATCATGACCATATGTTAAAGCACATAAGCGTAATAATGCACTGCCGCCTGGAGTATTCAATTACTTTGTAGCGACATCTATCGCACACACGCAGTAATGTAACGACTCACATATGTAGATGGAGAATAATATTCAACAGATGGCGTAACAGGTTCTACATCACGCAAGTGAAGTTTACGCGCTAAAAAGCACATACATTTAAAATAATCCCGACAACAACTGTCGGGCAGTAGCCCACCAGGCACGAGCACCTCGCCTGGTCGAAGGATCCTCCCTTTTCAATGGAGGATGAGGAACTTTCCACCCTGTTCCCCCATACCTGTAAAACTTTACCCAATTCAAAATAAAAAAATGTATTTGTTCCGTGTCGGAACGAAACACGCAACACGTTCCTCAGCAACAAATCGTTTAACTACTCCTCCAGTCGATGTTATTTTAGGAAAATTATTTTCATTTTAACGAACAACAACCTCGAAGATTAACCGGTAATAAATAAACCATGGTCGATTTCTCAAATCCGAAAATTACTGAAGGGCATAACTCACGAAACTTCTTAAATGAACTTCGTAATATTATTTATTATTAAATATTAAATAATAATGAATTCGAAGCAGCACCTCTACCTCCATTGTCTAAATATATAATAGACGGGAAATATAACATTCACTCGAACATTTTCAATAAGATTTCGAAATATAATTTCATAGAAATAAAGCGTAAATACCAGCACGACATGCTACCCTTATCTGCCAAAATTCTTTAATAGATTTTCGCTTTCACTGTCTCTAATAATAAGGTTGCAAATCTATTGTCCAATAAAACGTTTTGTATCCACTTCATTACGATTTCACTTGTTTTTGAGGAGTTGTCGCTTTTCTCGCCTACAAGTATTTGTATGTAGATGCGTACTTAGTTATATATATTTTGGTATTGTTCTACTCTCGCGTAGGCACGAATTGTCCTAGTTCTCCCCACTTGAGTTGAAAACTCCTTTTGTAATAAACAAAGATTTAACATGCTTTTCATCCTTCCAAATGTGTTTCTTTAATAGATACTTGGAATTAATTTACTTTAAATATTATCTTCTTTTCATACTTAGCTAAAGTATATTCAGTCTGCTCGACTGCACGGTGGCTTGATGATCGGCAACTGTGCAACAGAAAAAGGCAAAATTTTGCTAATTAAAAGCGCATACGCTTGTGCTGTATAAGTATAATATCTCCTTCATAATGGTCTTATCTGGACTGGCCACCATGATTGAGCTCAGGCTGTTTTGTTACTTATATTAAGTAGCCACTACCGATGATCAAAATCAATAAAATCACAAAATGAAATGCTTTCAAAACTAGGTACTTAATAAGCTCACCTCCTTTCAAAACAAAGACATAACATATAACTGGCCTTTAAAAATGTCATTAAAAGACCAGCAACAAAAAAAAAACATGACAAGAACATTTTCAAATTCAGAATACGGATACTTTCGCGTCAGTTCTTGTGAAGCTATTGAATGAAGAACTCATCAATCAATGTAGATTCCTTTAGTATGAAACCAACGGATTACGAAAAGTTTGTAGTACAATCTATCATGATTTATAAGGCTTATAATACGCTTAGTTTTTCCACTTACACACACATTGGTATTTATAAATTGTTGTCCTAGTTCTTTTGAACATTTTTCGGGATATCATGTAGAGAATTCGGCGTCAATTTAAATAAAAGAATAAGAATTGTTAAAAAGGTTTGATATGCGTAAAACTTTCCAACAACTTGATTTTTGCAGTATGTAATGTTTGTTACTGAAATAGAAAATCTAATGCTTTTGACTTAATTATAAGCGCAGCGACCGAACCCTTTGCAAAGGTTTTTTAGGACACCTGCAACACCAGATGCATTGCCGGTCTTTTGGAGATGAGGGATTCGGAGATTTAGGGATTGAGGAAAGGGATGAAGGATTGGGCCTTCGGTAACCTCACTCACACGGCGAAACACAACGTTTTGTTTGACGCCGGTATTTTTTATGTGCGAGTGGTATCACTCTGTTCGAGCAGACCCATTCACGCCGAGGCATAGATTTCCTAAACCTCTCTAAGAAATAAATATTTGGTACCTATACGATAATTTTCAACGAAGAAAAGGCTATGAAGAAAAAATATTATATTAAGTTTGTATAAATTATAAATTATAATTTACAAGACACTTCAAATCTGAGCACAATGCCCCAATTAACTAAAATAGCAGTTAGCAAGCAGTTATAAATAAAAATAAAATCCCGCGTAACATTTTAATTACAGAAACAAAATACGGGTTTTATATCATAGAATTTAACTGGCTGAGCTCAACCCGACCTGTACTTAATACTTTAAGTACATAAGAAGCCTTGTAGAGAGTGGATTACTTGAAATCTTTCTTTCTTTTCAACTCCATTTGGGCGGGAAATGAGATTGAGGGATATTTCTTTTGCTAAAAAATGACAAGAATATTTAAGGTTGGGCTTTCATTATCAGCCTATAGGTGCCCACTGTTGAGCAAAGGCCTCTTCTCATACGAAGAAGGTTAGAGCATTAATCACCACGCTTGCTCAATGCGGGTTGGCGATTTCAAACTTATAATTATAATTAGAAATTATAAGTCCAGGTTTCCTCACGATGTTTACCTTCACCATATGTCAGTGGTGTCAAAATAATCATAGATATAATAACATATAACTCGGAAAAAGTCACATTGGTACTTGCCATGTGCACGAGAAGCGGGCTCCTTAACCGCCGGGCCACCACGACTTGTTATGTTAAGCTTTCCTTAAAGTGTTTTATCAGTACATCGTTGCCGTACTGCTGCCGGTCCTTTGCGAGTTGTTAGGGATTCGGGGTCAGGAAATTTGGCGGTTAAAGATGAGGTGGAAGGATTGAGCCTGCGGTTACCTCGCTCACACGGCGAAAGACATTGCAAGTATTGTTTTAATACATCATCATCATCATCAGCCTGTTGTCGTCCACTGCTGAACATAGGCCTCCCCAATTGTTTTAATACGATAGTCTGTAAATACGGTGCTATACCTTCAGTCATTTTGTGTTTAAACATGGCTCTTCAAAGGCCAGTAACGAACTCGTAACTGCCACATTGTGTCCATGAGCGGACCTTTTTAGCTCTTTTTATAATCATAACGAGCCATTTTTTGACGATACAACTAAATTTACGCTTATCATCAGGTAATATGATGGTCTACTTGGTTACATCTCAGCATCTCAAAAAAAAAAACAAAAACAGAACTAGCAAAAACAAAATAAATATATGCACACTTTTGTCGAATCCAAGGAATCAAATAATATTACTAGCTTAAAAGATACTTCAGAAAGAAATATATGACTGATATTATTCAAAAAATATAATATATTAGGCAGAAATACATAAAAATGTTCATCTACAATAACTTAGCAAATATTATGGAACATCCCACTACGGCATGTATCTTCATTACTTGAGACGAATATGTGCATATTTCACTCAAACTTTCTACTCTGTAAATAAATCATATCATGCAACTTGATTTTACTTGCCGCGGAGTTACTCATGGAGATATGAGCTTATAAAGTTACTTCTTAAGAACTAGTAACTATACTAAATATTAATCAGAATTTTTGAACCAGACGCCCTAAGTGCACACTGCTGAACAAAGGCCTCTACTCACACGGATAAGGTTTGAGTATTAATCGCCACGCTTGCTCAAGTTAGATTGGCTATTATAAACTTTACATCATCAGCCTATATGTGCCCACTGCTGAACAAAGGCCTCTTTCTCACGTGAAAAAGGTATGAGCACAATCACCACGCTTTCTAAAGGCAGATTGACGATTTCAAACTACGACTTGTATGATTAGATATTATAAGTCCAGGTTTCCAGTTGGGTCTTAAACTTAGAAATCTTATATAACTCGGAAAAAAGTCACATGCTTAAGTACGGACTCGGCCTCTTGCCCCTTTTTATGTCGGCAAATGGGCACTCACGGATTGACTAAACACTATCTGGTAAGCGTAAATTTAGTTATATTGTGAAAAAATGGCTCATTATGATAATAAAAAAGCTAAAAAGGTACAAAATTTGTAAACTATTTAACGTTATTAAACCTTTATATTTAATCAACTAAAACAAATCGGTGCTTTTACTAAAATAAAATCCTTACAAAAAAAAACTCTTAAAAAATACTCAACATTTTTCGTCTATCGCAAAATAATTCTTAAGAAACGTTACAAAAATATTAAATTAATTTGTTCATTCCATTCTACTCAATACGGAGGCATGTCGCCTGAAGGCTTTCGAGATAAATTAGGCCCATGTACTGTACATAGGAACATCAACAGATTTACATAGTCTAGAGCTAATTAAAATAGGTACAAATACCACAACTATGTATTTGCTATGAACATTCCGTTAGCAAATTTGGTGAGTATTTGGCCTAGAATATATTATATTATATGATGTAATAATTGTGGGTGTGTCATAATCTTATACCATAATAATCTATACTAATATTATAAAGAGGTAAAATTTGTAAGTTAGTAAGTTTTTATGTAGGGGAAATTTTAACACAGCCAAATTAATCGCCAAAAAATTCTGAATCTTGAAAACCTATTTTTTTCTATTATATCTCTAATATTCGACATGTATATCAAAATTTCTTACCTGAAAGTGTTATGTCTGGCATATATGTGTAGTCTTTGTAATATATTGCTAAGAAACTACATAAATTGCTATTTAACTTACGGTCTGAATGACAAACAGTATGATTGAACGGCTAAATTTTTCTTACTGCCATTAAATAAAGGCTGAAGATATTGTCATTCGAATATTGTTTCTGCCAGAATTGTTATGTAGGTTAGATTAGCTGATCACACACGTCCACAAAACAAGCAACAAAAGAAGCACCATCAGGAATATACAGCTACTAAAAATGTACCGCCATATCTTTCCTTCAACGGGCTGTTTTTGTAAAGGGAAAATCATCAAATGACTTCTCTACTCTAGCCCAGGATATGGTGAGATCGAGTGGCAGACTCTTACTGACTAAAACCCCCCGTTCCTTGTCCTGCTCCAAGCCGAGGCCGCGGTACCTTGTTGAGCTTGACCCGCGAACACGGCTAAGCATTGGCCACGTTAGACCCCAGCTGTGGTGGTCTATTGGCTCTTTGAGGTTTCCTTCAACAGCAAGACTGTTAATTTAATTACTTTTAAATACCAACTACCCATTATTGGGACTTATATCCTAGACCGAACAAAACCTATTTTCCCAGCTTTGTACAAAATAGTGGAATCTTCTAAACCGATTATAATGGAATTTGGTAAGATCGTAAAACTATCGCGCATATATTCGAAAAAGAGTTTAGGGAGACAGGAAAAGACGATTATTATGCTATTAAAATTTTAAATCACATAAAATTGCTCGATTAAAGACGGGATAAATAAAACCGATTTAATAGTTCCAATGATTTTGGCACTAAAAATTCGTATGGAAACTCGTATACGCTTATAAATGCGGAACATTTTAACATGAAAAGCCTTTTCGTTATAAATCAATGTTTAGTTAATAGTTTAATGTTAGCGAATATTGGTATAAACACTGAGTAGGCATTTCAATAATGTGGGCAAATGAATTACCTATGTTATTAGTAGTAATTGGTAAATACTTGCATATACAATTTTAATTACAATTAAATGATTAATTTCATAAATTGCTTAGTACGTTAATTTGATTTGTGGAACACTATGTTCATGATATACAAATATCAAATCACAAAAGTACTCTACTCAAAAAAAGATCCCACATCTTGAGGATTTCATTTATCTGCTAAAGGGAGTCAGTGAAGGTCGTGGTGGCCCCGAGGTTAAGGAGCCCGCTTCTCAAGCATGAGGGTTCAAAACCTGGCAAGTACTAATGTGACTTTTTTCGAGTTATATGTACATTTTGTGATTATTAACACACCACTGACATACGATGACAGTAAACATCGTGAGGAAACCTGGACTTATGATTTCTAATTATAAGTTTGAAATCACCAACCCACAGTAAGCAAGCGTGGTGAGTAACGCTCAAACCTTCTCTTTGTGAGAAGAGGCCTTTGCTCAGCAGTGGGCACTTATAGGTGATGAGATTGGGTGACCTCGGCCTGGAGCAAAAGAAGCAACTGGTTTTTAGTCAGTAAGATTCTGGCTCGCCTACCCCAGCGCGGGAGAAGTCAGTTTATGATTCCCTCCCCCCCCCCTTCAAATAAATGGTTACGGTGGTGGTTGTTTTTTATGTAATTGGTCGATTGGTGATTGTAAGCAATCAGCGCCGCCCACGGACACCCGCAACGAAAGATTTACGAGTGCGTTGCCGACCTTTTAGGGATTAGGATTTGGAGATTTAGGGATTGAGGAGGGATTTAGGGCGGGGAAGGATTTGGCATCCGGTAACCTCACTCACACGGCGAAACACAACGCTGTGGTTGTTTCACGCCGGTCTTCTGTGAGGCCGTGGTATCACTCCTGTCGAGCCGACTCATTTGCGCCGAAGCATGGCTCTCCCACACTTACTGTTTATGATTTAAAGGCACCGTTTTATTATTAGATAATTTTATTATACACATACATGTGCCAAATAAAATTGTGAAGTAAATTTTTATTCTGTATTACTTTATACTCTCTGCATAAACAAAAATGAACCTTAAAGTAATTTTCAAAAAAACTAAATGATGGATGAAAACTTACATTAAAATATTATAGTTTCGTTTGATCCTTAAGTGCTGAATTCTAGTGCACTAGTAATAAATTTATCGTTCCCCTGGGAGACGTAAAATCTTCTGACTGACTGTAATAAATATTTATTACTTCTTTTAATAAATAATGTGAACGACTATTGGAATAGTTTTCGATTTAGTTTTTATTGTAAATTAAGTATTAGATATTTAATTTCTTTCATAGGATTTATTATAGGGTTGGTCGTTATATGAAAAGTTTTTATTAATCTTATAATCTTTATTTTATTCTGACTGATTTGATTCTGACTTCTTGTTTGAGTATAGGAACTTTTTTTTAGGAATCAACAGGCTCATTTCACCATACTTGGAATATCGAATTAATTCCTTATACCTTCTTATTAACGGTCAGTGCAAATGCTTCCAAAGTTGGCTGCTAACAACGTCTTTCCAACTGAATTCCTATGAAAAATTGCAAAAGATTTAAATATTTGAATGATCTGCACACATTCATTCTGGAGTAACTTTATTCTAGGTACAATACCCTTCCCACATTTGGGAAATAACAAGACGTCTATGAACCATAAAATAAGACTTGACTTTTTTGAATGTGATAGTTCTGCAAATGAGCTGACGAATTACCTGGATAGTAAGCAATCAGGCAGAGGCGTTCCTGGAGAGATTCCAGAGACTTAAGGATTGGAAAGGGATAGGGGGTAGGGAAGGTTTGGACCTCCAGTAACCTTATTCACACTGCGAAACACAACGCTGTGGTTGTTTCACTGCGGTGTTCTGTAAGACCTTGGTATTACTCCGGTTGAGTCGATCCATTCATGCCGAAACTTGGCTCTCTCACACTTATTTACTTCTCGGACATTCTCCCTTCATTAACACGCTTTCTTCTTCCACAGGTTATACTGCTACGCCCAAAAACACGTGAAATCGATCCGGGCCGTAACCAGAACCGTGCAGATGCCAGACAACCGGACCAAGTCGGTGCGGACGCGCGTTCACACACATGTACATTCGTCCCCCTACCACGTGTCTGACCATAAGGCCGCCATCACAGTCGGCATCATTATGGGAGTCTTCCTCCTATGTTGGGTGCCATTCTTCTGTGTGAATATCGTCGCTGCGTTTTGTAAAACGTGTATACCAGGTGAGTTTTTTGCGACTTGTTTTGGATGTGAGAACTAATGGTTGGAGGTTTAAATATTATTTTTGATCTTAAAAATTAATATAAATAATAAGAATAAAAAAGATTATTGAATGTAACTATATTTGTTTTTAATAAACGTAAGCAATATTTCGAACTAAATGAAAATGCGTCGTCAGCGTTGGTTTGCCGCACTAATGTAAGTCCCAGTTTAACTTGAAAATAGACGAGTTTTTTCGAATAGTCAAAAAAGTATATACGTGCACGTGTAAACTCGATTAAGGTCTTATGATTGTTATAATACATACATAGAAAATCCCTTAAACAGTTTTTCCATTTGATCTTACCATAATTCAAAACAACATTTTATTGTGCAAAGCATTTAAGCAATACTCTAATAAAAACTTTCCCAAATACTCCTCATTTTTTAGGGGAAAGTCAGCGACAAGGAGTTTCAGACTCTTACTGACTAAAAACCATCCATTCCTTCTCCAGCTCCAGGCCGAGGCCGCGGTCCCTTATTGCGCTTGCTTCGCAACCCTGGCTGACCCAAATACTCAACAAAATTCAATGAAAATACACGTTCAAACTCACCATTCTACCCGCATTTTCATTAAACAAATCCTCTGAAATAATATAATAAGCTGTTCGCTATTCAAATACTAATTTCATGACACGGTTATTTTAAAAGCAGTTCAGTATACGATATGGTTCACAATAAACGTTCAGTCCCAGATTAAATTTAAATCTGGATTAATTAATTTGAGTTATCGTTCGTTTATTTTATATGCATCTGTTATATTATAAGGTAGTTTGTTTGCAGGGATAAATTACGACCGTTTTTTTTATGGAATAGGTCGGCAAACGAGCATACGGATTACCTGATGGTAAGCAATCAGCGCCGCCCGTGGACATCCGCAACGGAGGAGTTACGAGTGCGTTGCCGACCTTTTAAGCATTAAGATTTTGGAGATTTAGGGATTGGGCGGGATCGGGGGAGGGGAAGGATTGTGCCTCCGGTAATCTCACTCACACGGCGAAACACAACGCTGTGGTTGTTTCACGTCGGTTTTCTGTGAGGCCGTGGTATCACTCCGGTCGAGTCGACCCATTTGTGCCGAATCTTAGCTCTCCCACATTTGATAAAAAGCGTTGTACAGTCTTCAGGTTTAAAAAAAAATGTGGGTGGAGGATAAGAAATGGGCCGAGGATTGGGCCTTCGTTAATTTCACACATACAGTGAAACACAATGCTTTTCTAACCAGGTTGTTGTGAAGGTGCCGTTGTGTCACGTAGGTCGAACCGACCGAATATTCTTTCAAACACAAAAAAGATAACGATTCAAAAAACACCACCACTCGAATAATTAATTTAAAAATGTGTTACCAAGTATAAAAATAATAATAAAAAACTTGAAATGAGAATGTCCGCATTTTTACACGAAGTCATTTATTTAAAGTTGGAACACAAATTCTTTTAATACGACTGGCAACACCGTGTACATCTAGTTAAAACTTTGCTTAACTAATTACGGTATTAATGAAGTGCCTAATGAGTATAATTAACTTGTTTTTTTTGTTTTTTAAAGCTTTTCGTTCACCTTTAAGATTAACCTTTTTCGCGACTAAGTAGCCGACTTGAGTGGGATTTATTTTGTAACGTGTGGCGTATAAATACCCTTAATGTTTTCTTTTTTTATTTTCATCTGCTTAATTTTGTTGTGGTTCTGTAGGTATTGCATATTTTGATGTTTTTATAATAAAATGGAATAGACTATGCAGTTACTAGATAGAACGGTTCCTATGCTACCCACCATAAGACCAAAAGTGCTTATTATAATTTAAGTGTGGGAGAGCCATGCTTCGGCACGAATGCGTGAAATTACAAAAGAATTGTGTTTTGCCGTGTGAGTGAGGTTACCAGTGGCCAAATCCTTCCCCTACCCAATCCCTAAAATAAATCTCCAAATCCTTAATCCCCAAAAGATCGGCAACGCACTCGTAGCTCCTCCGTTGTGGGTGTCCATGGGCGACGCTAATTGCTTACCATCAGGTAACCCGTTTGCTCGTTTGCCGACCTATCACATAAAAAAGCGAGCGTAGTAGTATCTAATTCCTTTGGTCCTTACGAAGGTCCTTGCGAGAATAGAAGCATATACCACCCCCTCAAGTCTTCACGTGGAGCAGACTAAAGGACTTCTTATATATTAAACAGAAAACGAGCACAAGTAGCTTCATAAGCTTGCATCAGATATTTATGAAAAAAAAATCGACCTTTTTTAATACTTTTGTCTGTCTGCCCCTACGAATGTACCTACACCACAAGAAAACTACTGCATAAGAAAAATACTTCAAGAGTCTTACTTACAATATAGGCAGGCACACAAAGCAAGGGCAAGCCGCTAGTATAATATAAAATTACTTACGTAGCCTTTACATTTGAATAGCATGAACACATTCATAGAAAACATTAGTATTCGATACCAAATTCTATGCGTGTAGACTTAACATCGAATTCTGCGAATTAAATTAAAATACTTGGTATGTTTATCCAACGCACATTCGCTGATGATTTGATTAATATATGTTTGTATTAGTTTGTGCGATATTCTAGGGATACCTAGTTAGTACTAGGTAGGTACAAGGTTAGTACTTAGCATTGTAGACTAGTGTCTACAATGCTAAGTTTTGCGAATTGATAACCTGATGTTTTGCTAGAAAAATCATTTTTCTGGAGCACAGTCTTCACACTCAAAAATGAAAAAAATATATTTCATTTCATGTTTATATTTTCGTTAAGCTTCTTTAGAGATGATCACACGTCAGAAATCCTATTATATCCTATTATAAGTATTATAAACGCGATTATTTGTAAATATGGATGGATGGATTTATTACGCTTTGACTTAAAAACTACTGAATTAATCCAAATTAAATTTGGCACAGAGATAGATTATAGTCACTTTTTACAACCGCTGCCAGAAACTTGTATAGATTAAATTAATAGCACTGCATGATGCAAAATAACTACGAATACAATTTCAGGCTCTGTATTTTTAACAAAAAACATTTTATGATTTACCAATGTCAGTAATATGACCAGCATACATTTATTAATCGAAAAAATATTTTTGAAATTATAAAAACAATCCTTCAACCAGAGAAATAGGTCTCACAGAATACTGGTACTAGAACCCTTACGTTTGGTTACCAAAATCCCTCAACTCCACCGCTCTCCTAGATTCCCAATTTCCAATTCTCGAAATTCTCAAATCGCTAACATTCTTATGTAGCCGTCAAGGCACTCGTAACACTATAATCCTTCTACTCGTTTGCCGACAAAATGACCAAACTGACCCGTTGTCCAAAAACAAACTGCATTCTAAGTTGTTCAGTTGTGCATGCAATTAAAAGTAAAATTTATTACCTTGTTAATAAATTCTAAAGTTCTATACACCAAGTTTTATCGTTTGCAGACTTTTGTCCTTTTAAAACTTTAACAACGACTACCAAACCTTGGTTTTTCGATAACAATGTAAAGGCGTTAAGCTGGCGACACACTAGGACAAAAATGCCATGTGGCACGTATATACGCGACATAAAAGAGAGCACTTCTTGATACTTGGTCGGGTTTACCGCGCATCTCTTCGCAGAATCGAGAAATCTTCAGACTTTGTAAATTCGATATCAAACAAAGTTATGCGAATAACGAAACTTTACCTGGCATAAATGTATAGCGATTCACATGTACGTGTCGCCATTGGTGACTACATTTGCGCCACGCTAGCGAAGGATTGGCTATGAACAGTTATGTCGGTAGTCAATGACTTAAATTCGATATCAAACAAAGTTATGCGAATAACGAAACTTTACCTGGCATAAATGTATAGCGATTCACATGTACGTGTCGCCATTGGTGACTACATTTGCGCCACGCTAGCGAAGGATTGGCTATGAACAGTTATGTCGGTAGTCAATGACTTAAATCGGTATTACTACACATTCAAGTCCAGCAATATCATTTCACTTTACCAATGCCGATACCATGATGTGTTGTAGAACATATTTTGTGCCTAGTGTATCCTAGGCTTTAACAACACCTATCTACCAAAAATGATACACGAAACTTTGGTAACAATTTTGATAGACTTTGTTGAATATTTTAAATTCATATTGAAGTTCGGTGAGACTTTTTGATAAACTGTTTATAGTCCGAGCAATAATAATATAGTATTATTTATTTATTTAAATAAGGACAAGTTAGGTGGAGCACGGGCAATCAACAGCTTGTGATAGAATTCGAATTTCAAAACATTATGTTCTATCCAAATGATCCAACTAAAACATTGTTATAGGTAATCTTATTAGTTAAATAACTAGAGAAAAATACAGATGTAATTCGATGTAATATTGATGTCCCATATTATACAAAGATCAGATTGTAGCACCTAATTCTAATATCATATTAATTAAACACTTTTGTTACAGACCTGGCGTTCAAAATCCTGACATGGCTCGGATATTCAAACTCGGCGTTCAACCCTATAATATACTCGATATTCAACACTGAATTTCGGGAAGCATTCAAAAAGATACTGACGTCTAGGTACCCACCCTGCTGTGGCTACCAAAGCGTCAGGGCTAACACACCAACGAGGAATGACAACTTTGTAACTGATTACGGTACTAAGACCTTGGTAGTACGCCGGAGCGGGTCTCTGGGCTTATCGGGTGTAGACCCTACTCCAAGGTCATCGGCCGAGTCAGTGCGACCACTCAGAGAGTACCACATTTGACAAGAAGACGGGAACAGCAACAACGGGCTGTTGGATAAAAGCGACGTGGTTTGAACGCCCGAAGACTGGTATGGGATAAAAAAATGTATTTACGCAATACATACAAAAGGCCGTCTCTATAAGAAACGAAATTGGCGCGCTTGACATATATTTATTTTGCTCTGGCAATTACGGTTTTGGTCAGTCGTCGATCGACGCTCGTCGTGTAAAGACGTCCTGATAAGTTGAGGGTGCGTCTATTAAAATATTTAAATCTTGAATATGCGCCGTCTTTTGTGTGAATTGTGATATTAAATGTATGAAAATTATATTATTATAAGCCTTGCGAAGGTTTAAAATATTGGCGCTTCAAAGCCATTGAATTAGAATAGTTATGTGTCATAGCTATTATGTCTATCATTACATTCGCATGTTCAAAAACATTCATATCATTATCGCGTAATAAAATATAGCAATGTAATAGAGATTATGTATTAAAGATATGCAGCGTTACTTACGTAACGAAGCGTATTTCATAATATGGTGGCGTAGCTTATAGTAAAAAAACTTTATTTTTTTTTTCTTCCTAGCCTGTTCCTAAATAAAATAGTTTGTACATAATTTACAGAGCTAGACAAATAGAAGGAACGATAATCTTTTAACGATCTGGTAGATGTGGCAATTTCTAATTAATAAAATACCACACAAATCCAATTTATATCCTAATAATCATCAAACAGCTTTCCCTATTACACAATAAAAATAAATAAGTGTGAATTTTGTTAATTTACATTTTCTTTTATTACTTCATGTACATAAAGAATAAAGGATTTCTTTCTTTGTTTTTCTTCCTACATAGCAAAAATACAACTCAAGCACTTGTTAACATTTCGCTACTCAGATGTTAGAATTGTAGTCAAAACACGACTACATAGTAAATGATTTTTAGGCCTTCGACTTGCGAGAGAAAACTATTGAAAGTAAACTCTCGGATATCGTAGATCACAGCAGTTAACTAGTTCGTCGTCAAGAGAAATTGAAATAATATGGAAGAACCGTGAAAGCTGATTCATAGCCCTTATTACTAATCTATTTCTATAGAATACACTTAATAGAAATAAAAATGTGTACAATGAATAAAACAGTATTCTATGTTAGCTCCATTGTAGATTCCTTTCTAATTAAAACATAATTAATCTCGACATTTTCACAAGATGGTAAGAAAAAAATTTATTTCTTAACGAAAATTTCCTAATTATTTTCATAATTAGTTTCGTTTCTTTCACAAGTCTAATGTAGTATCTGCGTTGTATTATTTTATTAAAATGTAGAGGAAGAAATATACATTCTAATTATGGAAACTGGCCACTTTCATTCGCTTTTCGTTTCTTTTGATTCGTTTATTACAATTAAATTAAAGAATAGGGCATATTTTGTTACTTAGTGTTTTCTGTTTCTTTTAAATATGGTAATGTTATATTTAAATACAAACTGAATGAGGTTTCAGTATGTTCTAAAGTATTTAATTCATAAAATCTAAAGCGTTCGCGCACATATTGTTCTTAAATTCTATACCAAATCATATCTCAAATGTTATTTTTTAAAAATATTCTAGTCAATGTAATAAATGTATATTTAGTAAATGTAAATCAACCAAACTTTTTTCTTAAAGTAATTTTTATTTATCTACATTTCATTTATTCCTTCCATCTAGTCAAAGATAAAAGATATTTACCCACCGTTTACATTTTTTATTAATTTGCAAACTCCTGTGATACTTCTGTAAATAAAAGTAAAAATGTAAAAATTGTTTTGTAAAATATTTATATTTAGGAATTAGGAAAGTATAAATTACAATATAATGGAGGTAAAATTAATATAAAAATATTTGTAGGCACGTTCTTCTTTTAAATTATTGAAGCCTTGGTTCTGTTTTTTCAATCAAAGTTTCGAAGATTAAAGACATTTTTATTTTTACATTTTTATGTTAATTTAAATGAATGGCTTTGAAATAAATTTTTAATTTAGGTGGCCGATTTGCTAGCCCTTTCAGACTGATTGCTTTATTATTACTCGCTTAGAATTTAATTTTACTTAGGTTGTAAACTTTTGGATTGTTCAGTACTTTGCTGAAAGTAAATATAGCGACATCATTTGCCTTTTTTTAACTCAAATTGTGAATAATATTAGAATATAATTATCTTATTGTAAATAATCATCGTTCGTAAAGAAGTATAATAGAATTTATTGCATTATATTTTATTAGTAATTAAGCTACAGGTTAGTAAAAATGTATGCAAATTATTGAAAATATAAATGTGATCTCTTAGAGATATCTTTACTAGACATAATTATGTTTATAAAACAAAAAATACCAGGTACCTGTAATTTGTTGATTTTACAATCAATTTGCACTGTCATTGTATGAGTATATTATGTAGGTTGCACTTAGAAATACCCCTAAGCTTCATAATACATAAGACAAATAATGGTAGAAAATAGTCCTACACACTAAAATCGAAATTTATTTTTATTTTACTTAAATTACATTTAAATTTATATCTAAATATTTCAAAATAAATAGAATTTCGAACCTTTTGACAGTCATGATCGGCTATAGACGATGAATAGTAGGTATTTGGTGTGTCGTCTATATAACGCCATAATTAAATATATTATGACGTTTTCTAGTCGGCTATGCTCGACATTGGCGAAATAGCCTATTGTTCGTTATCGTCTAAAACCGACCACGATGTTCAAGGGTTATAAAACCACCATATTATTAACGGACTGTTTTCAAAAATTCAAATTACATACTTCAATTTATTTCAATGTAATTCACCAAACTCTATCGTGTCTCGACTTACCACGATTGATAAGTTAACAACAACAACAACAACAAAAACAAAATCTACCATTATTTGTCAATGTAATAATAAAACAACCAAATAATAACGTAATACAAAAAAATATATACGTTGTAAAGTACTTCAATGAGACTCGGCTCGCCAAATCGCTTTTCATTTCAAAGGACGTAGAAAAAAATATTTCATTGAATACAACTTCAAAGGTTCGAATCTATAGGTGTTCGTATTTCGAATTTTCGAATCAGGATATTCGTTCTATCGTATGCGACCTTATTGCTTTATATTGATTGCAGCCAACTGTCTCGCTTGGAGAAAAATATCGCTGCATTTTAAGGAAAACGCTCTTTTTCCTAGTTTCAAAGAATAGGGATTCAGAGTTACTTGATTATATCCGATATTGCCATCTTTTATTAACATTTTTTTAAGATATTACAAAACTAAATCTCCTAGTACACTTATCGAATATCTATTGTCTATTAGGACAAACACATATCTGATTTCTCTGACAGTCACAATTTGTTACACTAATAGATTTAATATGATTTTTTTATGGTATAAGTCGGCAGACGAGCAGACGGATTACCTGATGGTAAGCAATCGGCGCCGCGCATGGACACCCGCAACACCAAAGGAGTTACGAGTGCGTTGCCGGCCTTTTGGGGATAGGGGTTGGGGATATAACGATCGGTAAGGGATAGGGGAGTGGGAGGGATTGGGCCTCCGGTAACCTCACTCACACGGCGAAACACAACGCTGTGGGTTGTTTCACGATTCTCTATATAATTACATTTCCAACTTAATAATATTAAGAAAAAGTTCTGAAATAATTTCTTTCTGGACACTGACAAAATAACATGTTCTAAAATACTTAGGTAATATAAAATAATAGAGACAAGACACGATCGTTCTTTTATGTCGAATTCGTAGAAATACCGTTATTAAAGATGGCAGCGCTCTCATTGAAGTATTTTAATATCATAATATGTACCTATTGGCCGACTTTGAAATATGACATCTAATAAGAAAGAAATAGAACACCATATTGGCAAGCATTACGTCCACTGAAGCGGACTAACTTAATAGAGCTCAGTACGTCGCTTAGTTACAGCGGAAAAGAAAAAGAAAAAAAACATATATTTTGGAAATCATGTTATGTTTCTACACACAATCACTAAAGAGGAAAAAAGTAATTTCCTTAACTCAATTTCATGCCAGTCACAATGTATTGAAGCTAAAATTTCGCAATAAACCTTATTCAACATCAATACTGTATTAACTGATATTTGTAAAGAGCGAATATTGTAGTTCTTTTAAGAACTTAATAACTATTTTACTAGTAGTCATCTAGGCTCATGTGTAAGTTTTTTTGTCAAAAAACGTTTGGAAATTTTCCAGTCAGCATTAATGTAAAACAATATCGGATTCTTTATCAAAGTCGAGCTATTTTAGGTTATGCGAATAATAAACTCATAGTTTGTGACAAACTTAGTTGCTAATTGCTCTTCAGAATGACTGTCATAAATGTTCGGATTAATGTGTGACCATTAATTAATGTTACAACTTTGTTTCTGTCAGTACTGTTTAATACTCAACACAATAAATGAACTAATTATTCGGTGGTTACATTTTGTGAAAATATTTTTTTTTCATAACTCTGCAAGCGAGCACGCATATTACCTGATGGAGACTCGTACCTTATACCAAACGAGTTACTACAAGTGCGTTGCCGATCTCTTGTGGGTTGGTAATAAGGATAGAAGATTTGAGGATAGATGGGCGGAGGGTTGGGCCTCTGGCAACCAAACTTACACGGCGGAACATAACGTAACTGTCGCTTCAATTCTGTTTTCTGTGGGGCCGTTGTTTCACTCCGGTCGACCCGTCAGGTCCATTTGTGCCGAAATATAGCTCTCCCACTCTTTTAAACTTTATATGGATCTTATTAACTTTCCAAACACTGTTTGGTAACATATAGCTATATACATCGTTTATCCTTATGACCCGACCCCTAATATCTAATTTCTGAACCCCTAAAGCGCCGGCAAAGCACTAGTAAGCCTTTCTTTTCTTGAAAAAAAACGTTGTCACATGTTTAAGTGTTGTGGGTG